GAATTGCTACTTTAATGTCATATCATCAGTGATAGCGTAAATGTAAACTGCATGAATTACTACAGGAAACTAGAAAGGAACTATTAAAAATGTGTATATGTGACTCCTCATAGGAAAAAAAAAGTTAAAACCCTGAAAAATCTATACTTGAGGAAGTTGGGCACCAAGTTTGTCTTGTTTCCTATGTTCCTAAAATACAAACATTTCTCTGCCCCATGGTTAATTTTTTTCATTAAGAGTCAAAGAAATTGATAGTGAAATACATGACCAGAGGGTAGCTAAAGAAATATTGATAAAAGCTGTCTGTGTTTCATTGGTTCAGAATAAAAGCTTTCTCCTTTCTGACAAAAATTCAATGAGATGACTTCCTTTGGCTCAGAAAAGAGTTGGGGGGAAATTTCAGTTTGTGTGCGTGCGTGTGTGTGTGTGTGTGTGTGTCAAACACTCTGTGAGTACCATGTTCCAAGTACCATGCTCTGTAAGATTCAGTGGTCAAGAAAACAAAGGCCCTGCTGTCTGCCGGTTTCAGTTTAGCGACGGGCACAGGTAAATAATCCAGCAGTTAAGATTCGGTACCGTGGTAGAGAAGTGCAGGGTGCAGCGCTGAGAACACAGGAGGGACCTTCCTCCGTGGGAAGTCAGAAGGGGGTGGAGGTGGGGTTGGGGAATGACAGGACGGTCTTCCTGGGAAAAGTGAGCAAATAAGCTGACAAGCCGAGACCTGAAGGAGGAAAGGAGTTAACCGCATGGAGTTGAAAGAAAAATATTCCATGTAGGAAGAAAAAAAAAAGAATGTTATATTCCTGGGAGAAAATGAGGATCGTATAGGATCCAAAAGTTGTTTGATGCAACGCGAAGAGATTAGGAAGTAAGTCTGCAGAGAGAAGCAGGGGTCAATAATGAATGACCTATTAAGCCATATTAAGAAATTTCGATTTTATCTTCAAGGCAATGATATTAATCAAGGGATACTATACTCACATTTTCAGTTTAGGGAGAAAAATTCTGATTGTTCTGTGGTACATGAATGACAATGAGCTTGCGGAGAAGGGTAGAAGCAAAGAAACTAGTTGTAATGCTCTTGTAGAAATTCAGACAGGGGAAAGAAGTGTTGATGGCTAGAAAGGCTAAGGGGGATAGGAATAGAGAGTAATGAATGAATCTGAAGATCCATTAGCCGCAGATCTTGAGGATCCTTTTTACATGGGACAGTAAAAGAGAGAAAGAGCTGTCAAGGGAGATAAGCTTCTTTATTTATTTTTTTTTTGGCTTGGGCAACTGTTTGCATGATGGTATCATTTAATGAGATAGTAAACACAGTAAGGTTTGTGTGGGCAGGAAGATGAGAACACTCACTGTTGGATGTCTGTGAGGCATATGATGGGGATGTAGAATAGTCAAATAGAAAGCTAGGTATAAATGTCATGAGAAAAATCTGGCTGCAATTAGTGATTTGGGAGTCATCAATAACATGGCTTACACTTCTAAAGCTAGAGGGTAGATGAGATCACGCACAGTGAAGGATAGGAAGAAGGAAGGCAGTGATCAAACCCTCGGGAATGCAGATATTTAAGGAACGGGGCAGGATAAGCCCAACAGTTAAACTGGAAGGCTGGCCAGAGGGCTCAGTGGAAAAGCAGCTGAGTTTGGTGACTTAGAAAGTAAGAAAAGGAAAGAATGGAAGAAAGAGATTGTGGTCAATGGAGTCATATATTTCAGAGAAAAAGAGGCTAATAACAAATATTGCTTGTTGGACCCAGAAACAATATGGTTCGAACAAATTAGTGAGCTTCCTGAGAGCAGTGCCTTTGGAGGTTAATGAGGAAAACCTGACTGCACTGCAGGTTGGAGTGTGAATGGGAGATGAAGATGCATAGGACAATTCCTTCAAGAAACTGAGAGAGAGAGAGGTTGGAAGTCAGTAGGAGGGCAACATGGGATTTGCAGAAGGATTTTTATTTTTTAGAGCAAAAGAACTACATCATTTATAAATATTTATGGGAAGAAGCTGGTACAAAGTAAAATAAAGTAGGAAGATAAATAATGGAGTGAAACCCATGGACAGTGACCCAGAGGAGGATGGAGCACAACGTCAACATGATTACATTTCTAACTATTCAACAAAAAACACTTTTTATATCTTCAGTGTCTGAGATCCTGGACCTGAGTATATTGTCCTTAATTAGAAGAAACAATATAGTTTGGTGGCCAAAGCACAGCCCTGCAGTCAGTTATTCTAGACTTTATTCCCAATTTTATCAATACTTGTCTATGTACCATTGAGCAAGTGACTCAACTTGCATGTGATGTAAAATTAAAGTCCTTGGTATATATTCCTCTCATAAAAGAGAAGTAACATGAGTAAATTGTATCATAAACAATAACTTTGTGAGAGCTCGATCACTGGAGATTTCTTTCTGTTTTATAAATTTGAATGTTTTTATATTAGGGATACAGAATCTCTCCCTCCCCAACTCCACTTTTATTTTTTTAATATCAGAACACATTTTTCTTTCCTCTATGCTGTGTCCCTTGCAATTCAGAGTTAACTACAATTTGATTAACATGAGCTCTTATAATTACTCTATAGATTCCTGTTATAGGTTTTAGATTGTTGAGAAAGGCACCTAGGATGACTAATCTTGTTTCACCATGCATTTATATTTTATTGTAGGTTTTTGGAGATATTCATAAACTTGGCTTACTCAGTTGGGAATTAGAAACTGCAGATATTCAACAACAGAACAGTTGGACATTCAGGGGCTCTGAGTTCTAAGCCCAGCCACAGTTCTTGATGGGATCACCCTTGACAAGCCATTATTCCTCTCTGTGCCTCCTGTTCTTTTCTATAAAATGGGCATAACCTTTCAGGTCCTCATTATAAAAGTCTGGAAGAATATATTGCAGGTCAGTGTATTTATATAAGAAAACCTTCACCCCAATAGATAAAAGGGGAAATAGAAAATCTATAAATAGAAATTACTAAATAATGGGAGTCAACTACATTCTATTTCTGTCACTGGGTTTGATTTGGAAACACTGGTTTCTACCCAGAGGCCATATAAGATGTCCCCGTGAAAGGAGTGTTAAGATGATGAGAATTCTCCTGCCACTTCCTCCTTGTGACACTCCGATCTGGTCAGTTGCCCAAGTACCATCAGCGTCCCCTACCAGGGACCTGTGGGGATGATATGTTTGTCAGGCAGCTGCCTCTACAAACAGAAAGTGTGCCCGTTTTATTTGTCCCTACGCAGAGTTCCTAATGGGCAGGAAAAGAGAGAAAAGGTAAGACTTTCGAACTTCATGCTCTCTTGCCCTCCTCCCTCATCTTGACACACACTTTCTCAGGGGCAACATAAGCCACTAAGAATAAAGAAAAAGGAAGCCTCAGTCGTTCTGCTCAGTGGTTAGAGCATCGGCCCTCAGACTGAAGGGTCCAGGGTTCGATTCTAGCCAAGGGCAAGTACCTCGGTTGCAGGCTCCATCCCTGGCCCCAGTAGAGGTGCGTGCAAGAGACAACCAATCATTCTCTCTCTCTCTCTCTCTCTCTCTCTCTCTCTCTCTCTCTCTCTCTCTCCTTCCCTTCCACTGTCTCTAAAAAGCAATGGAAAAAATCCTTGGGTGAGGATTTTTAAAAAAAGGAAAATCACGGTCAAACCATAAACTCTGCTATTTGTAATCAGTGCATAACCTCTATGATGAAATTTGTGAGTAATTCACTTTCCACTGAGCCCACCAATGTGAGATCTAATGTGGCTGCCTGAACACTAATGAAGGAAGTCAGACGGCAGTGCAGCTAGCCCTTGGGGACTCATTTCTCACATCACCAAAAAGTAATTTTCGTCATTTTCAGCCATCTGGTAGCCTGGATTGTGAAGATGAAGTTTCATTCAAGTAGTGCTTAAGAGTGTGGGCCCTGGAGTCTGCCTAGAGTCAAATCAATTTTCTGCTTCTCACCTAGCCCCCTTTAAACCTCAGTTTCCCACCTATAAATAAAATCCTCATAGGATATTGCTTCCTTATTACAAGGAGTTATTTAGATAATATTTACAAAGCACTCTACATACGGTCTTATGTATACTAAATAGAGATAGCTATTACTGAATCGTTAGTAGTAGTGGAGATGTAGTTATTAGTAGTAATAGTATTTTTTTTTTAGCAGTGTCTACTTATCTATGACATAGGCCTTATTAATTCAGTTGTTAAGCTCTGGGGTACATGATCCAGCCTGCCAGACACCAAAATAATATTTAGAGACTTTCTATTGTAGTGATTAACCAATGGTTTCTTCATGTGGCTAGATTATAAGTAGTCAGGTTTTACTGCATCCTAATAACATGACTATGCAATCTTATACTAAAAAACACTTTTTCCTGACATTTAAAGGAGAGCCCAGCCAGCATGGCTCAAAGGTTGAGCGTCGACTTATGAACCGGGAGGTCACGGTTCCATTCCTGGTCAGGGCATGTGCCCAGGTTGCAGGCATGCTCCCCAGTAGGAGCCTGCAGGAGGCAGCCGATCAATGACTCCCTCTCATCATTGATGGTTCTCTCTCTCTCCCTCTCCCTTCCTCTCTCTGAAAACATAAAAATAGAGAATCAATTATATTGTATTCTTTTTATATAATAAGAAAATAAATGTAGGTAACAGTAATAAGAAAAAATTCTTCTTAATAAATGTCCATGATCTCTAATATCTAAAAAAGGTCATTCTAATAAGAAAAGAGCTGAGTTGTTTTCATTATACCACTCTGTGTATTTCCTGTAGCACTTGGCCATAGCGGGAAGAGTTGCACTTTATAGTAAGACTCATGCTTTTTATTTGCTCACTAAGCCTCTAAGGAAGTTCTAAAACACCCTGGCTTCTTAACCCCAAAATTTGGATGTTTAAAATTATAAGAGCAGTTAGCTCAAATTTGCCACTTGCAGCTGCATGGTCCAGTGCTGCAAAGCTGTTTTTACTGACATAGTGACACATTCCATTTGTGTTTGTCTTTACAGTTCCACCAAAGATCTCCAACATCTCTTCGGATGTCACTGTGAATGAGGGCAGCAACGTGACCCTGGTCTGCATGGCCAATGGCCGTCCTGAACCTGTTATCACCTGGAGACACCTTACACCAACTGGTAAGCAACCCCCCAATCTCCAAAATGCCACACACTCTTTAAGCGATCCTCACACTTCTGAGATCCCATTGGATCTGAAAGGCAAGCATGTATCTTGTTATTACAACACTAATAGATTGTTGACACAGAAGTTATTTAGGGTCCTCCCTGTTCTTTGCTAATGCGTTCATCTCTATAAAGTCTACAACCATGGTACAAATATATATATTTTATTTCATTCTCAATACAACACTCCCCAAAGGCAACAAATACAGATGCATTAAATACCTTAAATGACTTTATATTATGCCTAGGTGTATGCCAGTTTTGTTCTTGAGTGTCCTGGGGCAATGTTTTGTATGGATAAAATTTACATACTTCTTTGTGTGTTCTTTATTTTGCTTTGCTTTTAACTATAGTTTCCTAATATAGTTTCCTTCACAACACCTTGTGAAGAAATTTTTTATGAACAATACAAAATTGTGACTTCTAATGTCCTGTCCTTGGCACCTGGCTCAGTGGTGGGACATTAGACGTGGACTAAGCTGCATGAGCTCATTATGGATCCTCACCTATTGATGCTAATTCAGTGAAAGTCAGAAAAATGTTTTACCAGGAATGTCTTCTGTATTCTCCTCCCCTCTTTCCCACCACCTTTACCATAACTGGGTTCTGAGGTCCTGCTGCCTTTTTTTTTTTTAATATATCTTTATTGATTTCAGACAGAGAAAGGGAGAGAGAGAGAAAGATAGAAACATCAATGATGAGAGAGTCGTCATTGATCGGCTGCCTCCTGCTCACCCCCAACTGGGGATCGAGCCTGCAACCCGGGCATGTGCCCTGACCAGGAATCAAACCCCAATCGCCTGGACCCTAGGTCGACACTCAACTGCTGAGCCTTGCCCGACCAGGTGGTCCTGCTGCTTTTTGAACTTCATTTAACTACTTTACCAAATTATTAAGGATTAACTGTATGCATACTCTTCTACTCTGCAAATTATATTTCCTTATATGCAAAACCATGCCTTTCCAAATGATAGTCTTTGTAGAATGGAGCCTGCTGTTTAATATTTCTATAAAGAGGTATGCATTAGTCACTATTATGAAATGTCATTTCTTTTAGTAGATAGCTCCCAACTTTTAAGTGGCTTATATCTGATCTTCTCTCTTAAAGTTTCCTTATGTAAGTATCTAGAGATTTAATTTACAACAATTTTTATTTTGGAATTAACACCATGAAAAGTTGTACAAAAATAGGCATGCAAGGAAAGCTATCCTGAGATATTTTAAAAGACCAGGGTAGTATTTGGTTATAGCATCTTTAAAAAAACTCTGTATTTTATGGTTTGAGAATATTGGCCTCCGTTTTTTTGTTAGCCTTCAAATTAACTTATCAAGTGAAGTTTGGACCAGTCTATGGAACGGTCTTTTATTTAGGCAGCTATTCTTGTTAGAGGTTTCTACTTTCTTGAGAAAATGTTACTCAATCCCCATTCTTACTGTTAGAGCATGCAATTTGTCATTTATTTATAGTATATAATAACAACAAATTAGGCACTTATCTGAGAGATCAAGCTCATTTCCTCTGAGATCCATTTTATACCCTCACATGGGAAAAAAATACATGTGGAGGGTAATCTGAAGTGTGAACCTCTGGGTATCATACACCTTTCCCCTGGATTAAATTAAACCACCAAAGCACATTCTGCTTGCATGGATTATATTATCCCCCAGTCTCACATCACCTACCCCTGTCCCAAGTAGAATTGTTTTACCGAATGACAGTTTGGTATGAAAGTTATTGGCCCACATTTAAAGATGTTTTAAAAGATCTCTAAAATCATTGTATTTGTTGTAACATTCTGAGAGATTGTTAATTTTATTACATAGTTTCCTTTTCAAGAACGCTTTGAGGAAATTCTTTTTTGTTTTCATTATTTCCATTGTCCTTTTTTTAAGCAATGGATGTGGGGTTTTTTGTAAATGAACCTAGTGAATTTTTATAAATGATCATTAGTCCTTCATTGTATTCACTATTACCAAATGCAGAGCCAAATTTATGGCCCATCTGTAAAAGAATATAGAAAATCATACATAAATTACATATTAACAGTATGAAGTGGGAATAAACTATGTGAGATTTTATGACATCAAATTCTTGCTTCCTTCCTGTTTTCTTACTATTATTTTCATATTGTCTCACCTTCTATAATTAATTCAAATGTGTATGTAAAATATACTATTTATAATTTCTTAATTTATGAAAAAAGTTGTAAAGAAAAGAAGGAAGGAAGATAGACTATATTCAATTTATAATCAAGAAATGAACTGCATTAATAAAACTTTTATTTTTTGGTGCACTATGGCCTAGTAAATGTTTTTTCTCAGGCAAAAATGGTTTTGATGAACTGAACCTAACGACGTATTCTTTTTCACCCCTTGAATTCTGAAAAATAATTAAATAGAACCAGAGTTTCAAGGCTTTCCCAGGCTTGGTCTATGAGTTTAGATGGTCACGGCTAACTCTAGTAAACTTTTAATGATAATGAACGTGTGAGCTGAACCCTGAATAACCTGGTTATTCATGATGTTTCAAATCAACAAAGATCATAGTTCAGGCCAGATTTTCCACAGTAAAGGCAGCATTTACATACACTCAGAGATCCCTCAAAATCAGCGAGAAAAACAGGTGTCTTCAGAGGGGTTCCCAATAGGCAGGCCCAGAGTCAGCAAACTACAGTCCCTGGGCCAAATTCAGCCCACTCCTCTTTTGTACAGCCTGCAAGCTAAGAATGGTTTTTAAATAGTTCGGGGAAACTTCAACAGAAGAATTCTATTTTTGTCATGCCAAAAAATATGACACTCAAATTTCAGTGCCCATAAATAAAGTTTTATTGAAACACAGCCTTGCTCACTCGTTTATATATTGCCTATGACTGCTTTTGCTCTAAAACAGCAGAGTTGAATAGTTGCAACAAAGGTGGCTTAGCCCCAAAGCCTAAAATGTTCCCTGTCTGGCCTTTTACAGCAGAGTTTACAGACAGACCTCTGTTCAAGCCTGTGGCTTGGAGCACAGGGCAAGGATTTTCTGCACTCGTCTTTGATCCCATAGGGCTTTGGAGATATCATCCATTTAGTTCCTAAGGACATCTCAAGGGAAAGAACTTTGTTTTTCTATAATCCTCTATCTAGGCCCTCTCTGTGGGTCAACTTCTATTCTGGAACATGCAAAACTAGCTCCCTGATGCATTCACCAACTCAAGGGCAAACTCCAATTCTCCCTTACAATAGGCATTAATTCCCAAGCCCACTCTTTTGTCTTTTTCACATCTGACCTAAATAACCATCTATCTGATCATAATCATATTCCTGGTGACAGGAGAGAGAATTTGCTTTTACTGTCTTATGAAGGAAACTAGGAGTTTAATTTTAGTTTTTTTATTTTCATTTTTTTGTTTTTGTGGGTTACTTTCCCGTTTTTCAAAAATTGAAAATGGGATCATCCTTTTCAGCCTATAATGCAAAAACCTTTCTTGGAGACACCCAAAGAAGAGGTTGTGCTTTCTGTGTGACAGCAAGGCTACCTGCAACCCGTGGCTGTGTGAGCTAAAAATCCAGCTAGCTTTGTTCAATAATTAATTGTGCCTTCAACAGTACAAAGTGTGACTGCCTTGCAGAGGAAATGTACCTGTAATTAGCTCGACCCCACAGAGACATCAAGCCCTGAAAGGGGGACGATTCCATGCGGGGTTCACAAAGACCTGATTACTTGTCATTTGATGACATAGGGGGAGAAAGGGAAGAGTGTAAGGTATATTTTTATGAATAGAAGAATATTTATTGCCTTTTAATTCAGTGGTGTGTTTTTTTTTAATTTTAGGTTGGGTCATTTTGTTTCTCTTTCTTTTGATACCTGAAGTTTCTTTGTCAAGTATACTGCTAATGTTTTTAAAGCAGGAAATTAGAAGAATGGTGAATCTTCCATATATAAAATCAAAACATATACTTGATTGAAATGGAGGAGAAGAGATTGATTGATGCATTCTGTGGTTGTCTTTCCTGTATTTCTTATTTCTTCATTTTTCTCTCCTCTTCAGATATTCTATATAGTCAAAATGATATGTCACATATGTGGTTGTTAAATGTGACCTATTTTCTCTCTTAATTAAGTTAGACTTTCATAATCCTGTAACTCCCAGAGGGCAATTGCACCGTAACATGTATTTTCTATGGAGTGTTTGATCTCCCTTCTGTGAGCAGTGCGACTCCCATATTCATTTAACTTTGTTTCTAAATCTTTCTTCTCACAATCCAGAGGAAGTCCCTTTCTCAAGTGTGCCTCATGTGGTGTCAAGATTGCTCAGGGTTACAGAAAGTTTCTGTGCATTTCATTTCTATAAAGGTTTTTACCACCTCGGTAGCTTTTTATAGCTGAAAAAAAAAGGAAGCACATTGCTGCCCTGCCCTGGCTGGCGGGGTTCAGGTGGTTGGAGCATTGTCCCATATACCAAAGGGTTGGGGTTCAATCGCAGATCAGGGCACATACTTAGGTTTAGGGTTCAATCCCCAGTCGGTGCAGATTCAGAGGTCAGCCAATCTATGTTCTCTCTCTCTCTCTTTCTCATGTCTCTCTCTCTCTCTCTCTCTCTCTCCCTTTCCTGTTCTCTAAAATCAATAAGCATGTCCTCGGGTGAGGATTTTTTTAAAAAGTACACTTCTGATTTTAGCCATTTAGGCTGAGAACAACTTAGTTCTGTACAATTCTCAGTCCAAGCCAGAAGCTAGATCTGACATTGACACAAAGTATAGAAATCTTACCTAAGGAATATTTTGTATTTTGATTGGATGGGTGGGAAAACATTGTGCTGGGAGGAGCCAAGAGGACTCTGGACAGTCTGAAATCCCATTTCTCATTGGATGTTAGGTTTTAATCACATAGTTTGACATTTCCTTTTAATTCATTTCCTAGTTTGAATCCTTGCCTGACGGTACTCTTAAACTTCATCAATGCTTTAACCCCA